CGCGCCCTCGGAGCCGGCGTCTTCATCTGTTGATACGGTTACTATGAGTCCTGCGGTGAACCGTGCTTCCCATTTGTACACCGTGCGTGAACCGAACCTCGAAAAGTTAGCTTCCAGCGTTTTCCTTTATCAATTCCGTCGTGCGCAACAGAAGCTAGTTTCAAATGTTGTGAGTTTCATCCTCATCATATATTTTGTCTTTTCAATATTTGATTAATAGTTGTGTTGACGTCCAATTGTGCATAGTGAATGGATTCTTTGATAAATGTTTACTTATTCATTAACAATAGCCACCGTTGTATCCCGTCTACAGTGCACATTGGATCGTCGATAGGGACAGCTAAAAGATAAGACCTGCCGAGCATCCTGCGCAGGTTATGTTCCAAAACTCGAAATCCGAGAATGAGGCCAAGGCGAATTTACAGGAAGATGCGCGTATCCACCGGCGTGCTAACCCAGTAGTCAGCAATTCCACCTAGAGGCGTAATCCATTTTTAACCTACTACCAATAAATCCTGATTAGCGAAACAGTGTTATTCCGTTGATGTGAGCATTCATCCGGTCAATCAAATAGTAAAACATGGAATTCGACGCGCTTGCTAACGTTGAGTTGCAATGAACCAACAAAACGAACGAACTAGCATACACACCATCCGTATCGAATGCGTTCATTTGTAGGATTTTGTCAGTCTGCAAATGTTCTGAGGTTTTGTTTCGGATGGGCCTTGTTTACCGCATTAACCGTGGCGTTCTGTTGAGTCTCGTCGGGTGTGATCGCTTATATGCTGTTAACTTTAGGACTGGAGGATTGTAGTTAGCTGACCCTTTGTCCGTTCTGCAATTTGATTAACGAACACCTAGGCCAAGAGCTGAGTTCGTGGCCATCTCGTCCGTCAATTATTATTTCGAAGGTTAGCAAACATCCACTCTACACGCTGGGAATAGTTCCACTGGCCTATTTACCAGAATTAAAATTCCCTACTCAGGGTGATGGTACAAGATGTCCTGAAACATTTTTCAAGTTATACGCTCGTGGACCGAGAGCCCGGTTCAGACAATTATCCATTCCCTACTGTCTTACTAAAAATGCTACATATAGTAATAAAATAAACATTGCTCATAACGGAAGGACGGATTGGCTGGTCTTATCTTTATAGCCTTTGCAAATTTAGAAACTTATAATTGAAACACTCACTGACCCCTAATTATTTTACGAATTTACTTCCATTCAGTGTATGACAATGTTACATTTTTTTCTAGGAAAGAGAAGTTCAGGAACATTTGATACTCAGCACCCGTCTACAACAAGTGGAACAAAAGGCTAACCCGTCAACAAATCTTATCAGTGACACTTTGGCGACCCAAGCAGACGCGAGCAAGGAGGCACCGGTGAATAACCTTCGTGCTATTGTTTTTGGCGAATGGGAAATGCAAACATGGTATGCCAGCATGTATCCACCCGAGGTTACCTGCCTTCCGCTCATATACATATGCGAATTCTGTCTCACCTACATGCGCTACAACATCGCTTACCGGCGCCACAGAGTGAGTTTTGCTCATATCCTCGTACCGGTCTCCGGTTACCTAGTAAATTTTCGTAGCTCGTTACAATATCAATTTTCGGCATGCACACAAGAAATGAATTTAGTCAGCATTTTTACTTCCTTATCCTCCTCCACCTTGGCAACCAGTTTTTCTTTCTTTGGTATTATTTATTGTAAAATACCTCGCCTTACTTGCGCAAACTTCACGCTGTCACCGTGATCTTATTTCAGCTACGATGTAAACGCAAGTTTCCTCCTGGCAATGAAATCTACCGGAGAGGCACTTTGTCCTTCTTCGAGGTTGACGGCGAGAAGCAGAAGGTAAGGCTTTTGTTTCCATCCGGCCCCATTAAGTTAATGTTCTCAAGTATGAAGTCTTCACTTTCCAGCTGACTAGTAGGTGGTTACTTAACCCGCAGTACGTGAAAAAATTAGACGAATCTACCTACAGTAGACTTGCTATCTCATGAAATATTAGCCGAAATTCTGAAAGGATTTTTTTTGTTTCGAAAAGATTGCTAAAGTAGGATTGTGATAATCCAAAAATACTCTAGTCACCTCCGAATGCTGGCGTTTAGAGCAACCTCTTTCCGACCGCGTGCAAAAACATGCACGCTAAAAATTGACATTTAAGTAGTAGACATTGGTGGGGACTCCTTGTGGGGCCGCCTGGGGAGCGTTTGAAGCGCGCCAATCAGGTTTACGGGCACCTAATCTTAGGTGAGAGGACGGGCAGGGCATGCCAGGGAACAAATTAGATCGCGATATCCCTGTAAAATAAAACAAACGTTACGAGGACA